TTCTTTGGTTTAGTCAGTTTAAACAATAAAATGCATTTTTTTAAAAAATTGTTTTTATCATCTAACTATATCAGAGGTCTCAAACTCGCGGCCCGCGGGCCATTAGCGGCCCGTATGACGATATTTTGAGGCCCCCCACCCGACAGCAAAGTTTAGTTTTAATACGGCCCGCAAGTTTTCCCCATTCTCATCTCTATAATGTGACAATCCGCGACGGTTTCAAACGAATCTCACCGACTAGTCGAATTCTGATTTTTATTATTTTTGTATAGATTTGGACGTTGATTATAATGGTAAAACCCGTTTTAAAATCGACTAAAAGTTTTTATTTTATGAGACAAACTTTACCAAAGTGTGGTTTTAGAAAAAAAATTAAAAAGTCAGTTGGTGGGTAAGGCACCACCATTGTTGTGTAAATCGCAGCAATGTGACCCAATATCAAAGAATCCCTATTAAAATTGCCGCTAATAATTGCGAGTGAGGGAAATCCCGAGCCTATCAGCATGGTCACTTTCAAAATAGGGTTATTGAAAAAGACTGTTCTACGATAAAAAAATCAAAATTAATTCTCTCTACAACAGCATATTCCTTCGCATCAATAAATCATAAATATTGCCCCGCTCCTGGATACTGGTTGAACTTGAACACGTTTAGCCTTCAAAGCATTCAAGGAGAAGGACGAGGTGGTTGTTCCTGTACTAAGTGATCCTAAGTGGCTCATGGACTTGGCTCTTCTTGTTGACAAGAGCTGAATGTACTCAATAAGAAGCTACAATAACAGGACTAGCGTGTCAGTGTGTTGCCAATTTCAGGGCATTCTGAAATAAAACTTGTGTTATGGTTCTTAGAGAAACCTCTGCTAATTCCAAACATGCCAAGTACTCATGGACTCGGACACACCATTCATAAGTAACTTAAGTAGTAAGTATATTGATGCCACAGCTACAGGAAGAATTTGATCGCATGTTTTTAGACTTAAAAAAACACACACAGCCACTTTTCAGCTTTTTGCTGACCCTTTCTCCTTTAATGTGGAAGATGCCCCACCACCTTTTTTTTTTTTTTTGTTTGCTTTAAATAAAGCTTTTTGATTTTCAGTGCAATACTAGGGAGTTGAATAGAATAACCGACAAGCAAAGAAAATTTATGAGAGCATTGCCCTCCATCTTCCCTGAGTTTTCCAGGTTGTTCAAGAGGGAGTACCTATCTGTGTGAAAATCTCTTTTCCACTATATTTTTATACTTAAAAAAACACACACCACCACTTTTCAGCTTTTTTCTGACCCTTTCTTCTTTAATGTGGAAGATGCCCATCCTCTTTTTTTTTTTTTTTTGTGTGCTTTAAATAAAGCTTTTTGATCTTCAGTGCAATACTAGGGAGTTGAATAGAATAACCGACAAGCAAAGACAATTTATGAGAGCATTGCCCTCCATCTTCCCTGAGTTTTCCAGGTTGTTCAAGCGGGAGTACCTATCTGTGTGAAAATCTCTTTTCCACTATGCACTTTAACAAGTCGAAGTTCAGGGCCAAACTTACTGATGAGCATCTTCAAGCAATACTGAGGGTCTCAGTTGCTTCCTCACTCAAGCCAAAGTTGCTCAGGTGTGTAAGAAGAAGCACTGCCATATCTCTGGCAACAATGTGTAGGAGGAAGAGGAAGAAAATGAACCCTAGTTCTTGAGAACCCTCACTGTTTTTATTTGTTATTTATAAGGATTGAGCAGATTGTAACAGTTGTACATTAAGGAATTTATAATTGCTTCTTTTGTGGAATACTAGATGCGGCCCAGTCTCACTCAAACTCTATCTCCTGCGGCCCCCGGATGATTTGAGTTTGAGACCCCTGATCTCTATTATTAATTTTTTATTTTTTAAAAGTCTAAAATAAGGACCAGTAATAAAAGATTTATGTTGCAACATTAAAAAAAAAGGTTTATTTCCCTTTATAATTGATGGACGCTGAGCTGATGCTGTCGAAGCAATAGAAATATTAGTTAGGTTGTCTCCCTTTCGATTGTTTTATTATACTTGCTCTTTTTAAATATACAGTTTTCCAACACACTGAGTGAAGGGGAACGTCATTTCGGTAAGGAAGGGCATTCCCTCCCCTCCCCCCGTTCCCCCCCCTCCCCCCCCTAATTTGCAGGTTTTAATTTAATTGCTATTTACTGATGCGCCTCCAGTAATAAACACCTTAACAAGCCGATCAAGTTTTGGTTTTTGGCCCCGTCCCCCACCCCCAATAAAAATGACTGACATGACGCCCCCCCCCTGTGCCTGAATCTCACGACATCATCGAAATTGATCTCAATTAGTTGATTATAAGAGTATCAGTAGTATACTGCCCTCAATACATTGTCAAAGTTGATGGTAATTGGTATGTCAAAATAGTATCAGTAGTATAGTGTCCTCACTAAATTGTCAAAGTTGATAGTAATTGGTATGTCATAAGAGTGTCAGTAGTATAGTGTCCTCACTAAATTGTCAACGTTGATAGTAATCGGTATGTCATAAGAGTATCAGTAGTATAGTGTCCTCACTAAATTGTCAACGTTGATAGTAATTGGTATGTCACAAGAGTATCAGTAGTATAGTGTCCTCACTAAATTGTCAACGTTGATAGTAATAGGTATGTCATAAGAGTATCAGTAGTATAGTGTCCTCACTAAATTGTCAACGTTGATAGTAATCGGTATGTCATAAGAGTATCAGTAGTATAGTGTCCTCACTAAATTGTCAACGTTGATAGTAATCGGTATATCATAAGAGTATCAGTAGTATAGTGTCCTCACTAAATTGTCAACGTTGATAGTAATCGGTATGTCATAAGAGTATCAGTAGTATAGTGTCATCACTAAATTGTCAACGTTGATAGTAATTGGTATGTCAAAATAGTATCAGTAGTATAGTGTCCTCACTAAATTGTCAACGTTGATAGTAATTGGTATGTCATAAGAGTGTCAGTAGTATAGTGTCCTCACTAAATTGTCAAAGTTGATAGTAATCAGTATGTCATAAGAGTATCAGTAGTATAGTGTCCTCACTAAATTGTCAAAGTTGATAGTAATCAGTATGTCATAAGAGTATCAGTAGTATCCAACAAAGAGACGCCTTCTCACGGTGTGTTAAGGTACGAGCTGCTGGCAGGTGTCGTTGATACATCATGGGTTTGTCTGGGGCTAGTCGTGCTGTATGTGAGTTGTGGTCAGCAACAGCATTTCCCGTCTTCATTGTGTGTGTGTAGGAATTACGATGTTGTGCGTGTGTGTAGTATTCGTAGTAACAATGTCTCCGACCGTGTACTGTTATTCCCGAAAGTAGGATACTTTGACTGGTCTTGTTACTTCAGACATTTGATTTAAATGATACGGTCAAAGTTTTTTGACGCTAATCTGAAAGCACTCGCTCGTATCGAATGCAGTTAAGTAAGTTTATAGTGTAAGAGCTGATCCAATTAATCCACTTGAACGCTTTATCGCTGTCCAACACACATTATAATTCCTTAATTAAATTCAATCCTGACTGCTACTATGAAATTTTGTGGTTTTTGTTTATTGTACTGATGAAGGCATTTTGCCGAAACTTTTACATTTGTATTCAATGCAATAATTATTAAAGCTGAGCCTATATTATTTTTTTAAATTAAATTTTGTCTAGTTAATCTGCTTGAAAGCTTTATCGCAGTCCAACACTCTTATAATGAGTTAAAAGCTGATCAAGTGAATTGATTTAATTTTAACATTATTTCATTCTAATGGTCGCTATGCCATTAAAAAAATGTATGTAATGTCACTGTAACAATTGAAGAAGTTCACTTCATTTTGAAGAGGCAGGCTTTAGTTTAGCTTGATCATAATGTTATTCAATACTTTAGTTATAATTATCTCAAGTCTCATGATTTGACCTTGTAAACATTGATCAGATTGAGCTTATTGGGGCCCGTTACAAAAGTATTGCACTACAGTTTTGTATCATTTTATTTGAAATACCTTTAGAGGGAAGTGGCCCAGTGCAGTCTAAAAATAGATTAAGTCACAAACAAAATTTGTGTGCCTGTAACAGTTTAACAATCTTTAATTTTAGGACACCATACAAATTTAGACATTTTGGATAATGCCTTCCTTCGGCTCATGCCTTTTTTCGCCAATGCCTTCTTTCGCCAAAGACCTTCTTTTAGACCAATGCCTTCTTTCAACCAATGCCTTCTTTCGGCCAATGCCTTCTTTCAACCGCTGCATTTATCGACCAATGCCTTCTTTCGGCCACTGCCTTCTTTCGGTCATGCCTTCTTTTGACCAGTACCTTCTTTAGGCCAATGCCTTCTTTCAACCAATGCCTTCTTTCGACCAATGCCTTCTTTCGACCAATGCCTTCTTACGATCAATGCCTTCTTTCAACCAATGCCTTCTTTCAACCAATTGTCTTCTTTTGGCCAATTCCTTCTTTCGGCCAATTTTTTCTTTCGGCTAATTCATTCTTTCGGCTAATGCCTTCTGTCGGCTTTATTAATTAAACGGCTGTAGACCCCGTGAAACAATGTTTCGTTTAATCTACGGGCAAGCTACTCTGTTTTACACAAATTTGGACATATCCCATACAACATGTTTGCCCTTTTACAACCTATTTATTCAAATAATAATTCTCTCTATTCCATGTATCAGAAAATGGCCAGGTATGGACGCTCTGAACTGGATGACATGGCGATGCGCTTGGAAGACCTCCTCAACATGACGGCACACGAATATTTCACAAAACTGCTAAAGAATCTGAGTGAAGTAAAGCTTAGGCCAAGACCTTCTGATCTCATCGCCCTAGACAACTCTGCTGGGGTATTGTGGGTCATCCTCGCCCCTCTTGTGTACTTCATCACCGTGGGCTCCATCCTCGGAGTCCTCCTTCTATTTTTTTGGTACACTGACACCCCCAACGTCACGGACAACACTGAATTATCCTCTATCAACCGATTAGCCCCAAACTCAAGGTACAGCACCAACCAGGCAATATCTGCCCTGCCCGGTGAGTTTGTCAGGACATATCTGACCACTGATGGCGCGTGTCTGGCCATGACCAGGGCTTCAGGTGTGTCAAAAGGATCTGTCCGTTCCTTGGGGACTCTCACCGACCCTGAGCCGCCTCAGAGTTCAACAATTTTCAGTAAACTTCTGAGGTCTCGTTCCGAAATGTCAACAAGAAGAAGTAGTCCAGAGAGGTGTGGCCGAGACGTGCATCAGGAGAATGAGAGTTTTCACGAGGAAAAAACTCAGAGGCGATCAACATTTTTTCAGACTTCCGAGCTCAATAGCAGTTTGTCTATCAGTGAAGACAGCCTGGAGGAGGCGATCAGTGGAGGGTTGGGGGGCTGTGTGGCACAACATAAACTTGTGTGGATAGCGTCGGATCAAAGCGAATCTGATGGCAGCGATGAAACGGACGATGCTCAGTTGAAACGATCTTCTACCTCACAGAAACCGCCAGGCGCGTACCGCAAGAAAGAACTAGAGACAACCGAGTCCCACACCGGCTATGTCCATGATACACATAGGCAACAAGATTTCAAACTTCATTTAACTAACAGAGTCGAGCTCCATCAGGTGTCAGACTCACCATGGAGAGGTGGTTGCATTGCACACGCCCCGGATGCTGACATACTATCGATTGGCCGTAGTTTACAAATTGCCGATTGGCCATCCACTATTTCAAAGAGAGGCTCCCATCTTGACGAAGGGTTGGAGTCTATTTCAAGCACACCTTGCTATGCAAGGCCCAATCTAGCTCAAGCCGACTATGCCAGTTCAGAAGAGGATGACATGGGGCATGTTATAGGTGACAGAAGTCGCCTGGAGAGACAGCTGTTTTACGGCGACACAGAAACGGCAAACCATTTATTTCAGTCCCCTTCCCCGTTTGATGAAGACCGGGGTCAATTCGAAGGCCAAGGTCAATATGAGGGCCAAGGTCAATATGAAGGCTACATTGAGTTGTATCATTCTGAACTGGGGCAAGATTTGCTCCGCCACCAAACTCCTCATGACGCCTGCAGTCTTGACGTCACGTCGGTATCCAGGCTGAACGACCACTCGTCACAGATGTCAGGTCAGTCAGAGCGCAGCCATGACCACGCTGATCAGAATGTCGCAGACTGCTCACTGGACAGCAGCGAGCTGAGTCTTCCCAGCAGTATTTCCAGGTAAACAGCTGAATCTTTATTAAATCATGGCCTTGTTGGTTTAAACTAGTACACATTCTGTTTATAGAGACAGACTTGTCAGATAATGACACCGTTGACATATTAGTATTTTATGATGACGATAATCGTGCAGACGAGGCCAGTGAAAAAAAAAATTCTTAGAAAACTATTGTCATTTTTTAATCCAACAATAATACAATTAACAACTATATATGTTGTTTAAATCACTACCTTCTATAGATATTGTTCAAGTCAATAATTTCTATAGATGTTGTTCAATTCATTACTTTCTCTAGATGTTGAAGTCAATACCTTCTCTCAATGCTGTGCAAGTCAATACCTTCTGTCAATGTTGTTCAAGTCAATACGTTCTATAAATGATTTTGAACGCTTAAGATTTCATAATGATTCATGAGTTTGATTGTTTGGGGTCATTTGTTTACTTTAAATTTCCCTAGCGAGGTATTAGCCCCTTAGGCCGTAAATGTATCCACGTGTCAAATGTAAACACGAATTTTTAGAATTTTTGGGAAAACTCTATTACAACTACCCCACTATTAACAGAATTTAGCTACACACGACCTTTGGTTTTTATTAGACTCCTCACATCACTTTTGGAGACTCACTGACACTTTTCGTTTTTTTAACCCATGAATTCAAAGTTAACAGTTTAATTTTTTTCCTATATCCCAACTTCCGACCTTTAAAATAGCTGCTGAGGCACCAATTCCCTCCCCCGTCCGCCAGCCGCATGAATTGCACGCCCCATTCGAAGGCTTTAGAGTACGTTAATATCACACTTTCTTAGAACCCCCCCCCCAACCCCCCCAAAAATATATCTCTGGAGCGTGATGTATTTAGGGACAGCCCCTAATTACTGCTTTACTAAAACCATTACATTCATTACAGCATAATACAAGATAAATTACAGATGGCAGTTGACATTAAAACACTAAAATATATTTTTTAAATTTAGCTTTGAAAAACTTTTTTATTATTTTAAATTTCCAGATTCCATGCCAGTAGATCTGGGTTTCAAGCACAACCAGTTGCGAGCTACCCCTTTGACATGTCACACACCGACAGTTCAGTCACTGATGCCGTCATTCAAGTAGAAGTGAATGACATCACAGATGACACATCACTTCGTCCTGACGTCGGCAGCAGCAGCCAGTCCACCGAAGTCCTTAGCGCTGCACATCCATCCACTGCGGGTAGCCTCAATCTATCCGGTGCAGGTAGCCTCCGACCATCCCCTGCGGGTAGCTTTGTTTCCACCAACCGCTCTGTCGGCAGTGACGACGCAATCAACCCATTCACCCACAGTGACGAGTCATCCCCACGTGCCGGACACGGTACAGGTTATAACAATAAGAGCACATGGACGTCCCCCGGAGTGGAGCAGAACTCTGCTGAAAACAGGTCGACATCACCTTTGATTGCGCCACAAAACGACACGAAGAAAAGAAAACGTTTTTCGCTGGACCTGTTGTCCCGGGGTCGGGTCTCTGTGGAGGAACGCCTAAAAGAGTTCGGGTTCATCAAGTCCAACGGTAAAAACAAGCTGGTGATCAACCCATCCCCGGGCAAGTTTCAAGGACGAGGCGGCACTGTGAACAGCGTTTACACGGACAGCGAGGACGGGCTCCACACCAACAAGGAGTCGGTTGACTCGGACGATGACCCCTTATTCAACGCCTGTCTTCCGGTAACTGCTCGAAGGCGTGAGAAAGATGGGGAGTTAACGTTGACGGATCAAGGCGACGCGTTCCGTGGCTGTGTGAACGATAATTTCCAGATGTCTTCCCCGTCCGTGTCTTGTCATGGCTGCACTGACACGGCAACAGAACCCGGAACGAAACGGAAGCCTCCTGAGATTCCCAGACAGGACATCAGTTACAATGAATGGAAACATCTGAACTCCAAAACGCCCGAGGACAAGAATAATAACAATGTGCTGAATGGCGTTATCAGCTGGGGTTTAGATGGGAACTCTATGGAACGTACCATCACCAGATATCGTGATTACGCCATTAGTCATCATGCAGAAGTGAAATCAAAGAATCAAGATGAACTGTTTGATCATGAACCAGGTGGTACACTACCGTGCACCACTCACGACTGTAGCGGCTCTTGGGTTAGAGAGTTGTGTTACAGCCCTGAGGACGTAAATGATTTAGCAATTGGTTTCTACGCCCCACCGAGCTCCCACGCTCCACTGAGCTCCCACGCTCCACTGAGCTCCCACGCTCCACTGAGCTCCCACGCTCCACTGAGCTCCCACGCTCCACCGAGCTCCTACGCTCCACTGAGCTCCCACGCTCTACTGAACTCCCACGCTCCACTGAGCTCCCACGCTCCCCTGAGCTCCCACGCTCCATCGAGCTCCTGCGCGGAGAATTTGGATTACAGAGAAAGTAGGCCATTCAAGGTAAAACACCAAGAAAAACGTCATGACATCGAATTTCTTGATGCAAAACATATAGATGAAGGCAGACAAGCAGTTGCAAGAGGTCGGAAATATGGCGATGAGAATTGTAAGCATCAAGTTGAAGGTGTAGATCAATCATCGGCCGCATTGTTCACAAGCCATCACAAAGAATGTAAGACAATGAACGGCAAATCTGAGGAATCAAACGGCAATCCTAAACTATTTAGATACAAATCTACCTTCAGCTTGAGCGGCCACAAATTTGCCCAAGAGCTGCCTCAAAGGTCAGTCCGACTTAAAGGATGTCAAGACGAATCTAAACCGCAATTTGAGGAGAAATCGCTACACACTGGCCACTTCGCCGGACTTAAGCGTTTCAGCGACGAGGCGAATACGAGTTCTAAGATGCGTCAGTTCGGCCAGAACCGTGTGTCCACTACTGACCTGTTTGTTGGACTCAGTCAGCCACCTGTCGATTATGATTCCAGGGATTCTGATTTCTTTTCTAAACAGCACCCATCTCTAATGACACCACCCACCCCTGACTCATCTGTGGCCCCCCGGGTCCAGTTTGTTTGAATGGTAAACACTGCTAGCATAGCACACACGTTTCTTAAATAACACACACGTCTTTAAAAACAATACACGCGCCCGGAGAATTGCACACAGGACTTTAAAATAACACGCCAGACTCTAAAATAATACACACACGTCTCTAAAACACTACACACGTCTCTAAAACACTACACACTTCTGTAAAATAGCACACACACGTCTCTGAAACACTACACACATCTCTCAAACACTACACACATCTCTCAAACGCTACGCACATTTCTCAAACACTACACACGTCTCCCTAACACACTACACACGTCTCTAAAACAACACACATTTATAATTTTGTTAATTTCTTTCAGCTTGATTGTGTTAACTACAATTGAATGTTTGTTTTGTGTATTTAAATATGTATTATTTATATGGTTTATAATATGTGAAGATATTAATTTTGATATTGAAATAGTGATTGATAATGGCATTGTTATTGATCTGGAGAAAATATTGATCAATCATGAAGTTGACCTGGACGTTGGTAGACTTGTTAAGACTAACAACAAAAATGCTATTTTAAAAAAAAATATCAAACTTTTTTTCCCTTTGTCCGAGAAATCTGCCTATTTTCGCCTTATGTTGACGAATGAAAATAAAACTATTTTCAAAATGTTCATGTCTTACTTCTATTAAGTTCATATTTTATGTTCCTAAATGTCACAATTTTTGACAAATTCAACACGCGTATGCGAATTTTGTTAGAAAGATGAGCCTGTGACATATTGTGCTTGAAATTCCTTTTTTTAGCAGTAAACTTAAAAAAAAAAAAATAATAAAAAAAAAATTCGTTTAGTCTTACATCTCGATTTAACAACATGGAAAATAAATTAAAAAATCACTTAATCTTAATCTAAATGATTAATGAATTTTTAAAATGTATCTTCCTTGTTATGTAACTGTAATTTAGAGAATAATAGAAACAATTTTTAGGGGTATTTAAATATTAAATATAATATTCGTGTTCCTACAAAGTTAGATTAAAGTTGGGCACTTTTAGATTGGGTATTGGATAAATACACAAAATCGACATTTATTTTCATCAGTTCTTTATTATATTTCTCACGTAAAAAACAAAGTGTGCACAAATGGTTAATACATCAATTACGCCTCTCCCTGAGCATGGAATATCATGTTACTCTCATGATACAGTCGTTATACAGTCAAGATAAACTCATGATAAAGACTTGTTGCAAACAAGATACAATCATGAAACAGTCTTGTTACAATAATGATACAACCATAATTGTTATGATACAGTTTAAAAAAAACAGTCGTTTTACAAGTCGTTTTTATAGTGTTACAGCCATGATGAGTCATAAGTCATGATACGGCTTATGATACAGCCATGATACAGCCATGATACAGCCATGATACAGTCATTATACAGCCATAATACAGCCATGATACAGCCAGGGTGCAGCCGTGATACAGCCGTGGTACAGCCGTGATACAGCCGTGGTACAGCCGTGGTACAGCCGTGGTACAGCCATGATACAGCCGTGGTACAGCCGTGGTACACACCTGCCACACATATTAGACGGATATTTAAACCGCCATTTAATACAAAGAATTTGACCTTCAGAAGGAAGAGCTCATTCTGCACACAAATCCAAATATTAGTTAACCCAACAGAAATGGATTCAACTCAATGTTACTGTGACTTTGTCTGCTGGAGTCAGAATATCAAACACAACCACCAGAAGAGTACTTAAGACAGCACTGTGGGTGCTATACTTCAGCTTCAAACTTCAGCTCAAAACATTCACTGAAATAGACAGTACATTTATAGCTACAAGTACGGTAAGGGAAACGCATTCAAACACGCGCTGACTCTGCAATAAACAGACACTACTTTACCGCTACAAGTACGGTAGTGGAGGAATCAGTCAAACCCACGCTTAACAGTTAACACATTACGTTTGGACGCGTCAGTTGGACCACGCATACGCCTCACACCACAGTAACATCACCACAAAGATACACCACAAAAATGCATCACAACATCACCAGTAATACATGACATTAGGCCATGAATTAAACAAAGTACAGAATCCAACAATCCAAACAAACACATCTGCCGATCAACAGACGAGCATCCACTTTTAGAGCCAAATGTATTCACTTTTAGAGCCAAATGCCATTCACTTTTAGAGCCAAATGTTATTCACACTTTGAGCCATTTCTTAGAGGTAATTAACATCAACACCTAGAGTCAAATGTCACCCACACTTAAAGCCAAATGTCATCCAACCTTAGAGCCAAATGTCATCCACACTTAGAGCCAAATGTCATCCACACTTAGAGCCAAATATCATCCACAATTAAATCCAAATGTCATCCACACTTAGAGCCAAATATCATCCACAATTAAATCCAAATGTCATCCACACTTAGAGCCAAATGTCATCCACACTTAGAGCCAAATATCATCCAACCTTAGAGCCAAATGTCATCCACACTTAGAGCCAAATGTCATCCACACTTAGAGCCAAATATCATCCACAATTAAATCCAAATGTCATCCACACTTAGAGCCGAATGTCATCCACACTTAGAGCCGAATGTCATCCACACTGAGAACTATCGCGTCAATTATTTAAGTCCCGTTCACATTGTTGAAGCAAGGAAAAAAAACAACTCCATTTTTAAAATCCATTGATAGCTTTAAAAAAAATAGTATATATACATTATATTGAAACACATGTAGATTAAGTTGTAATTTTTCAATGTTAAAAATAAACTTTTGACAATTAATCATAAATTAGGGCTCACTGCCTCAAATAAAATACAAAGTCCATAAAATGTTTGGAAGCCTTCCATGCAGTTCTATGACAGCATGGGACGTCGTCCCAGCGCTGTGGTGGGTTGCCATAACTAGATTTACTGTAAATAAAGCTGATTAAAGATATTATTTAAGAAATCAAAGTGACATTTTAAAATTATAAACTGCAGATGGTCAGCATCATCACGTGACTGTGGTCAAAGGCGAAAGCGTCCCAGGCAAGTTGATCAAAGATGTTTGCGAGTAAGCGCGCCAACGCTATATATCATAATGATTGTGTAAGTTAGCAAGCCAAAGCAATATATCATAATGATCATGTAAGTTAGCCAACCAATGCAATATATCATAATGATTATGTAAGTTAGCAAGCCAACACAGCATATCCTAATTATTATGCAAGTTAATCATGTCAACACAACATATCCTAATTATTATGCAAGTAAGCATGCCAACACAACATATCATAATTATGCGAGTAAAAGCACATAATCAAAATTAATTTTGAAAACATTGAAATGAAAAGAAAAAGTATTGTCTGTGTGTGTGTTTTGTGGTGGGGGGGGGGATGGGGGGTTGATCATCTTATAAGCAATTGTTACCATATGATTTCGATTAAAATATGTTAAGTATTATCACATAGATTTCTATTGCAATAAATCGCGTTATTGCATACAGTTATATTTGCAAATTGCAATTTTTAAAAATGCGAAGCAAAATGAGCAGATGCACGAATCAAATATTTTCGTGACATATTTTCCTCCATCCACTCCATGAGTGGTAGTGGTGACCTCTGGGTGGGATTGTTCTCCTGGGACCAGCAGTCGAGCTGACCAGCGACCCAGTTAATATGAATACAGCAACCTGGCCAGGTCTGACGCCTTATGTCCGCTGCTCATGGACTTGACCAGTCTCACGATCTCCTGCTTGTTCTGCTGGGCCAGTGACGTGGTGTTGGCGCTGAACTTGTTGACCACGTCCGCGTCACTCAGCGGGTTCCTCCAGTGACCGTACGGTGTATCACAGCGACCTCTGACCTCTGACCCATCCTGAAATTAGACAGAACGCACGCGTTAACGATGGGACTCAAGAGTTGAACGATCCCCGACCACGGCTGCCATACGTGTGGAATTTTCCCAAGATCTTGGGAATGCACTACCCCATTCAGGGCCAAAACTCACCTTTATTTTTTAGAAATTCCCAAGATCCTTAAAAAAAAAATTCAGATATATTTTTATGATCTTGGGAAATCTTGGGAAATTGTTGGACCAAATCTTGGGAATTAAAAAAAACAAAATTGAGTGATAGTCCTGTCCCCGACCGTGACACTAGAGAATTCAGGACAATGAAAGTGGCGTCTACCGTTTTATAGCTAAAGTAGGTTTTCAGGTGTGGACACCAGTGTTGGTTGAATACAAAGGTTTACTGGGGCTTCAATGTAAGATAGGACTATAGTCAGGTAAACCTTGGTTCGTCTGGTCTACATGGTGTCACCGTAAATAGAATGAACCCATATCCCTTTGTTGACGACGTCACTGCTTGTGCAGACTCTCCAGTTATTTCAAATCGAAGTGTACTCTCATACCACCAGTTTTGTAAAATAAACTTACCATCAAATGAATGTGCAATGATTGTCCTGCAATTCATCGTACTCTCATAACAAGAGTTTTGTCAAAGAACTTACCATCAAATAGACGTGCACTTCCACATACATCTCGTTAAACGAAGGCTTGTTATCATCAGGGGTTTGAACCTCAGTCTTGTTCAGCAGGGCCACCAGGTCACGTCTCGCTCTGCAACTGTCCTCGTAAGATTTGGGGGTGACCTCCCCGTCCAGTAGAGCGGTGCAGGCGTTGAACTGGAACGAGTGGCGAGCTTCGTGCATGGTTGACGGCAGTGGACGGTTGATGTACTTGGAACTGCAAATGGGCAACAAAAGGGATTACTGAACCACGCAATAATATTGGGACCTGTCATAGCTCTATCACTGTCAAGGCGACTCAGTGTGGGATTTTTTTATTATTTTTTTTTTGTTTTACAATCTCTTCTAGGCTCGATCGTGAAATCAAGCGATCACGACAATGCTCAGGAAAAAAATCCGCAAATTTTAAAAGGTTTGGTGACCAGTGTCGTAGGAAATTGGGGCGCGGAGGAGCCCCGGTTGCCACTTTTATCTATAAATGGAAGTGTATCTTTTTTCGGAAAACTGCCAAGTTTTATCGTTGAAAAAAAAAAGGGGGGGGGGGAAAAATTATTTTCTCGTCCTAGATGGCAATAACACTAGCTACAGCACAGTTGGTGACGTGTAAGGTTGCTATTTTTATTTATAAATGGAAGTGTATCTTTTTTCGGAAAACTGCCAAGTTTTATCGTTGAAAAAAAAAAGGGGGGGGGGTAAAATTATTTGCTCGTCCTAGATGGCACTAACACTAGCTACATCACTGTTGGTGACGTGTACTGACATGTTCATATAAAATAAAAAGACCGACGAGGAAATAGAGGCATTGGAGAAAGATGAAGCTTGAAGAAGAACATGCTGTTAATTATAAAAAAGGTTAGAGGTTAAACAGTTCAAAGACGTTCATGTGAACATTGACATATGGATTCGAGATTATAGTCCAATGTAAGACTCATGTTTAAAAACAAAAACCACCTATAGCCCAAAGACTTACTGGGGGGCCTTAACAATGACCCTCTTGACCTTGTCCACTCGCAGAGGCCCCTCCATGTTGGAGCGGACAGCCAAGGCGGCATCGATGGTCCAGTGCATCCCAAGGTGGGCGGGGAAACGTTTCAAGGCAATGTCCTGGCTGTGGAGCAGGAACTCGGAGTTCTGGGAGTGCTCTGTTGGGGAAACAAGGGAAGGAAGGAAGGATATGGAGGATAAGTCTAGATAAATAATTGTGAGGAAGGCCTGGGAATATTTTAATAAATACAGACTTTTTAAAAAATAGCTTTGTTTTCAGACAGTTAAAACCGTAATCAATTCTATAACATTTTGAAATACGTTTATAGATGTCCAAGAATACTGAAAGGTTGGAGACATTTTAAAGATAATGAATTTAGGGACCTTAATGAAGGTTTGCAAGTAATTGACAAATATTTATCAGTTGTTTCCCCTTTCAGACAAACCATCTGATGGCAAATTCAGTTATGTATAGATCAATTGTATGCACTTCTTTTTTACAACTATACAGTGATGAGCCATTAATTCATATTTATGCTCTGCTATAAATTAAAGTTTTTTATTTTAGAAAATAAGTTTCAGAAGACTTACTTCAGGTAATAAGATTTCACTAAGGTTTCACTAAGACTTCATTAAGTTTTCGCTAAACTTCACTAAGATTTCACTAAGGTTTCATTAAGACTTCATTAAGATTTCGCTAAAACTTCACTAAGATTTCACTAAGACTTCACTAAAGTTTCGCTAAGACTTCAATAAGGTTTTAGTAAGGTTTCACTAAGACTTCACTAAGGTTTCACTAAGACTCACCTGCAAGCAAAGACTCCGGATCGAAGTCATCGTAGAAAGCTCCAAATCCTGACGTCATATCTAGAATATTTTCGTTCCCCTCGATGCCCTGGTCGGCCAGTAGTGCCGCCTCTAGACCGAATCTGATTGTAAGTAGTGTTTAATGGTAAACTGATCACATTTGAATGGCAAGAGTATATTATGATGAATTTATGTCATTTGAATAGTAAGTAGTGTATAATGTTGAATTTTTGACATTTGAATCTTAAGTAGTGTATAATCGTAATTTTTTTTACATTTGAATAGTATGTAGTATATAATCGTGAATTTTTGACATTTGAATAGAGAAGATTTATTTCTTGATTCCATAAATGGTGTCCTATGTTGGCATTTCAAATTAATGTGACAAAAGTTATTTTACATTATAATTTTAAAACCAATGATTTAAATGAGATTGATGCAGATCATCGTTAACAGAGCAGCTTATTTTTTTAAAGAAAACGACGACGGGTGGTGGTTTCATTGAGTAAGAGCCCACCTTGCAGCTTTCCCAGCGTGCAGCGGCTTTGTTGTGGTGCCAGCGTTAGCCATGGGGGCCCCGGCGAAAGATGCGGCGATGCCCAGGGCGTTCCTGCTCTTCTCAGGACCAAACCCAAGCAGACTAGAGCAGGCGGCGGCGCTGCCCATCACACCCACAACCGCTGGTGGGTGAAACCTAAAGGGAAAATATGAGAATATATATATATATATATATATATATATATATATATATATATATATATATATATGCGATCTTTCACTATAATGCTTTAATAAGTCTCACATATAATTTAACAAATATAATATTTCACATTCATATATGTGAGACACCCACAAACGCTGGTGTGTGAAAAATAAAGAGAAAATATGAGAATATATATATATATATATATATATATATATATATATATATATATATATACGTATGCGATCTTTCACCATAATGCTTTAATAAGTATCCCAGATAATTTAACAATTATAATATTTCACATTCGTATATGTGAGATTCTGTTGCCTTCATGTAACTAATGTCCGTGATTATGAGGTGATGTTACCTCCATGTTATTAATGCTAACAGGGAAGAGGGGAACAAAAAAAAGAGAAACTACCTCCATGGGATGCTCTTGGCTGAGTTTGATGAGCGCAGCAGCAGTCCTTGGACCTGGATGCCGACGTTGTACGCCACCAGCACTTCCTCCAGTGATGGGCTCATTGCACCCGTCATCGACTCCGCCAGTGCGATGATAGCAGGGAGGGTCGGGCCACTGGGGTGGGTTGCCGGGTGCCAGGTGTCATCAAAGTCCATGGCGTGGATGCTGACCCCATTAATGAAGGCGGCTGGTCAACATCAAAACAATCATTAATAAACGATTTCCAAAAAAATCTAACTTTTTAAAATTAACACAGAGCAAAGATAATTATCAATTGCTTTGAAATTCAAAACTTAACACTACCCGTAAAACAATTGGGAATAAAGAATTTTGGATGTGAAATGTTTAAAGAGGTTCCAGAAAAATTTAAGACTGATCACCAAATTAAATATTACTTCGTCTTCTTCTATATTTTGAGGGCCCACGATCAATTGATTGATCATTCTGGCTCCTATGTTTCAGCGGTTTTCGCGATGTTACTGTGCATGGTTTTCAGGGGGATACTTCACTGGTTGCAAATGAATTTTTATATTTATGTTGTTATGAAATTTTAAAACAAAAACAAAAACAACAGCCTCATTACCTGTTGCCGGTGACGCCCTCGTATTTCTTGACCCCCACAGCACAGCTCCGCCCATGCTGTTTTTCCCATTCGTGGCCGACTGCTCTAGTCCGACACACGTCTTGGACACGATCTGTGCGATCTCCGTCTGGAAGCCGAGGATGCCAACCCCCAGGGTGTCCAGCAGCATGCGCTTGCTGCGTTGGATGGTGGTCTGAGACAGATGTTGGATGGTCGTCCTGGAGACGAGGTCTGAGATCCATGACGTCACGGTTGCGGCCGGCATATTTTTAGGCAAGGCTATAGTGAAAATAAAAGTGGGTCAGGTGTGTAGTGTGTAATAAAAACTAGCTCAGGTGTGTTCTGTGAAATAAAAACCAGCTTACGTGTGATCTGTGAAATAATTGCCCAAGAAGATAATTTAACAGTTTTCAACCTGTTTCGTTTGTTTGTTGTTGCTGTTGTTTTGTTTTGTTTTTGTATTTTATTTTTTAAGACCATCAGGAAACAGTTTACGAAACAAAAGTGACGAGAGAAGAAACAGGAAGGGAAATACTTCCACTCTATAATCCGGGACTCATAAGGTAAGCGTTAAATGAAATGGATTCGACAGGCTGGTAACAATGTATCGAAGTATAGACAACGTGATACAGCACGGGATACAGCACGTGATACAGGATGTGATAAAGCATGAGATACGGCCTGCGAGTAGCGCATACTCAGGAGGGTTTAAGAGTGGACCTCTGGCAAATCCTTGCCCAGCACCACAAGCTCTCGGTGGTGTTATACGGGATCTTGCCCAGCACCACAAGCTCTCGGTGGTGTTACACGGGATCTTTCCCAGCACCACAAGCTGTCGGTGGTGTTACACGGGATCTTGCCTCTTCGTGGCGTGCCTGACTAGTAGGGGGGGGGGGAGTTCTCCTCCTTCTGAAGCTAAAAGATCCCAGGCAAAACGCATGATTTCCATCGCAACGGAAGTTTAAGCGCTAACATGATTACGTGTTGCCGTTGATGGGTTTGAGGCAGTGGGTGGCCGCCCAAACCCTTGTCAATGATTAAAAAAGACGCGGCCCTGACAAAGCCGCCCCTAGGTGACCGTTTCGTCCCCGCTACGTCCAGCCCGAACCACTTCCCGAACAGTGGGTTGAGGTAACGCAACGCCTCCCCCGGAGAGGAAGTAAAAGCCGTTTTGACCCTTCACAGTCCAGACCGAACCACTCCCGGGTAGCGGGTTTGAGGCAACGCTACGCCTCCCCGGAGGGAAACAAATCGTTGGGAACCAATTTCTCGAGCAACTCTTAGGAACGGTGGGAGAAAGTTAAGCTCGTGACTACTCCCGGAGTTGAAGTAAAGCCGTCCCGCACCAAGGAAAGCATGACTCCCTAGGCTGTGGGGGTGGCAACGCAACGCCAACTCCGGAGAGGAAGCAAAGCTGTTCCAACCTTACGTCCCGACCGTACGACTCAATGGACAAGGGGGGCTGTGACGCAAAACTGTCCCCTCATGAGTGGACGTAACCTGCCCTAAACCCCATTACTCAAGGCCTTGTTGCTTGGCCGGAGTCCCCAGGGACTACTAGGCTATGTTTCACGGCCAGAGGTCCCAAGAGATAGAATCTCGACCTACGAGTATTGACATTTATAAGTAGCGCATACTTTACAAAAATAGTTTGGATTTCTGAGACTTTGAAGCGTAACAGGAGTTATTAGGAATATTGAGTCATCGTTCAGAATAAGTTGATCGTCTGCTGTTACGATCCAGTTTTTAAGTTACAAATATTCAGTTGAAAATGTTGCGTGTGTGTTGTAAAACATTTTTAAAAAGTTCTTTAGTTAAGATTCTGTCATTGTTGATAAATTTCTTTAGTTAAGATTCTGTCATTGTTGATAAATTTCTTTAGTTAAGATTCTGTCATTGTTGATAAATTTCTTTAGTTAAGATTCTTTCATGGTTGATAAATTTATTTAGTTAATATTCTGTCATTGTTGATAAATTTCTTTAGTTAAGATTCTTTCATGGTTGATAAATTTATTTAGTTAATATTCTATTATAGTTGATAAAGATCTTTCGTTAAGATTCTTTCAATGTTGATAAAGTTCGGCTAAATCTGAGGACGGCTGCCACTGCGTCTTTTGTGTGTTTATTATAGTTGCAGTGAATTAGGGTTTTGGTTAGGTTGAAGGATCGATTTAGGGTTCAGGTTAGGCATAGGGATCGATTTAGGGTTCAGGTTAGGCATAGGGACCGATTTAGGGTTCAGGTTAGGCATAGGGATCGAGTTAGGGTTCAGGTTAGGCATAGGGATCGATTTAGGGTTCATGTTAGGCATAGGGATCGATTTAGGGATACATTCGTGAAATTCGATAAAATAGTGGGAGTCGTCCCGGTAATTTACCTAAAGTTCTTTAGTTAAGATTTTATCACGGTTGATAAAGTTCATTAGTTAAGATTCTATTATGGTTGATAAAGTACAACATCAGCAAATGATACATACCAGCAGCCGACGTGTGAGCGAATCTTCTTTCTGTTGACGCATTAGTTCGGTCGTCGGTCGCGGAGGAATATTCTTTCCCGCGGAACGTCTTGCTCAGAGATGATTCCAAGGGAGCGCCGAGAAACCTGTCGGCTGGTTTAATGGCCGCTGGCGTCCTTGGCAACCGCTGTGAATAATACGTATACACATTGGAGTTCTTGATGACGGTGACCTGGACTTGGCCGTAACACTGGCCCAGTCTGTACACAACACGACCACTTCTCAACATGATCAACTTTTTTAAAAGTCAGAAATACAAGATGGCAAAAAAGAAAGTAAAAAAAAGATCCCTTGGAAGAATCGTTTCCCGTCTCACAAGGAGAATGTCGATGTTTGACAAGAAAATTGTAAAATTTTTATAACTCTGCACATTACTGTTTGTTAGTCTATATAATTTTTAAAAAAATGCAAATAAAATATCTCTATAATATTTTAAGTTCTGTCGTAAATAACGCGGTTCTAATGTACCGTGCATCAGTCCAAAATATTTAACATTACTGTGGTCAAACCGTGGCATAATATGTTTCGCCAATGATGAACAGCCGTTGAATAGCCATCCGTCATCAGCTAGCTTTTGATTTTTGTAAATATGGAAATTCAAATGGCTTCAAGTCCTGACAATGTTTTGTTTTTATTTTTTAAAAAATAAAAATCAACCAGTTGTTAAATTATGATCACATAAAAGGATCAACGACAATGGAAAGTTGTTTTCCCTCATTAAATGTAAGCGCGTAGTTCAAGTGGCTGGGCAGAGAAAAGGAGGTTGGGGGGGGGGGCAGAGAAGTACGTGACAAGGGAACGTAACAACGGGTTGTTATGTTTTTATTTTTTAAAAAAAAAAAAACAAACAGTTGTTAAATTATGAACAAATAAAAGGATCAACGACAATGGAAAGTTGTTTTCCCTCATTAAATGTAAGCGCGGAGTTCAAGTGGCTGGGGCAGAGAAAAGGAGGTTGGGGGGGGGGGCAGAGAAGTACGTGACAAGGGAACGTAACAACGGATTGTTTAGTTCGGTTAGATGGGGAGACAACTTGATCTTCTGTCTTTTAAATCATGTTTTTTTTTTTATTTTTAGTTGAACAAATTTCAATATCAGCAACGAGAGGTCGCTACTTGAACGTTTTTACAATAGTTTTGGATATAAACATTTCATTATTCATTATAATTATATATATATATATATAATTTGTTTACAAAAAAGACAACGGATCCCTCGTTCATCGTCCTTTGTTACGTTCGGAACACCCATCGTAAAGGAGCGATGACTTGTTGACAATAGAACACAACAGACCAACACAGCCTGGAAACTAACCAACTATTCATCACAATGGTAGACACACGTGCTATTGAATTTTACGAACCATAACTCCTGATGCCTTTGTTTGCAAATTTCGCACTGTCCCGATCTGAGTCTTGAGGGTGGTCAGCGTTGTAGACAACTTAGACTGCATGATGATAAGTTCTCACGGTGGATCACGGGAGAGAAAGTACCTGCTCGTTCGTTTTTTTTTTCAAATTTTATTTTACTTTAACTTGTTGAGCAATTTCCATCAATTTGTTTAAAACTGATATTTGACTTCAATAAGTAACATATCATAAGTAGAAAATTATAATTTAGAGTTATTTAATTTGTTAACTTTTAAGGAACACAATTTTTGTATGAATGGTATTTGATAGAACACTTGAGATCTCGGCTAGATGTAATAGCATCAAACTGAGTAGCGACCCCTTTATATTTATACCAACGCCATTGCGGGGGCTAGAGATTATGCATTGAGAGGTAAACCCAGTGCTAAATATAGCGTGTTTACACTTTGAGACTAGCGAATAAGGTCTCGTCGTTGACACCTTGCACGGCGGTCGGCCGGGGGATTTCCTACTGTGGTAAATGAACAGAAGTCGATGCGTTAGTCAGCCAGACAGAAAGAAGAGAGCCAGGAGAACGCTAAACTCATCTCCCCGGGAATTGAAGTGTCCGGGATAACCGGAACTTGCCATTCACGTGACCGCCGCCGGGCACACGATAACTGAAATGGTTGCAGTGGCAAAGGTCACTTGCATCCTGCTTTCAACTCGCTGTGTATCGATACTAGCTACATTTCTCATTATACTATCTTAAGTTATCTTATAACATAGATTTATTTATAGATATGGAAGCGAGCTAAAGAGAGATAGATAGAGAGAGAGACAGACAGACAGAGAGAGAAAGAGAGACAGAGATAGTGAAAGAGAGAGAGACAGAGAGAGAGATAGAGAGAGAGAGAGAGAGAGAGAGAAAGAGAGACAGAGATAGTGAAAGAGAGAGAGACAGAGAGAGAGATAGAGAGAGAGAGAGAGAGAGAGAAAGAGAGACAGAGAGAGCGAAACAGAGAGTGAGAAAGAGAAGGAGAGAGAGAAAGAGAGAGAGCGAAAGAGAGAGTGAGAAAGAGAAGGAGAGAGAGAAAGAGAGAGAGAGAGAGGATGTGGTTGGGATATGTCTGAGAGTTCGTGTTTTCCTTTTTGATGTAATTTTGGTTTTCCGTCAAATTGAAATAACGGAACTATTTTGTAATTTGGGTGTAATGTATTTCATTGTGCTTTTATGGCAATATGTCCCCCCCCCCTTTTTTTTATTACCGTGATGCGATGCGTGCACATGTGCACATATCCACAATGTGTGAGAGAAATGCACTTTCTTCAGAGTATGGTAACTTATATCGACATTAAGTATGTATCAATTCATTTAACACTTTTCTCAAGACATATATTAATTGATTTTAAAGTTTAGTTCTCCTTTTTTAAACAAGTTTGATGTTGTGAGTCTGGTTAGAAATATGCCATACAATAATTTACATCAAACTATAAAAATATATAAATATATACTTTTAGTGATTAGTCACATTAAATTCACCAAAAATACAACTAAGTATTTTTATTTTTGACCGAAGTTAAAAAAAAAATTAGTGCAAATTTATGGACCTATAATTTTGCAAACAATTATCATAAATTTTCCTTTTTAAATTGTTGTCTCTAACCATCCAGCTGGTTTTGACTTTCATGAGATCTGTAGTGCTCCCCCCCCCCTTTTTTTCCTCCCGGTATCCCACTGCCACTGAATTTGACTTAATATTCTAATTTTCCACCCCCTTTTAAACCGCAGGTTTATTACACCTAGAATTTCTGTTAAACAAAAGAAAATATTATTCACCAATCGCAGTTGATGGTTTTTTTTTTTAGGAATCTCATTTAGCGCAGTTATTGGGAATTTTATTACAAATGATAAGCTTTTTAGATTAATATGCAGACATGCCATAGGGTCGTGTATTTGTGCAGACACGTCGTAAGGTCGTGTATTTGTACAGAGGCAATTAATTTGTACAGACGTGCCATGAGGCCGTGTATTTGTACTGATATGTCATGAGTTCGCGTATTTGTACTGACATGTCATGAGTTCACGTATTTGTACTGACATGTCATGAGGTCTTGTATTTGTACTGACATGTCATGAGATCATTTATGTGTACAGACATGTGATGAGGTCATCTATTTGTCAAGGCAGGTGATGAGGTTATGTTTTTTTTTTTTTGGTTGAGAAGTCAGTGTGACCCCCGTTGTTGACAATCACCTGCCACACCAGATCCCTACCCTACTTTTCAGAATAACACGATCCCAATCCCTGAGAAGAGCAGGTACCACCGAATTGACCAGAGTGTCTCAAACTGTTACATTTTTAGCTCCTCTTTCAGAAGTGAATATTTGGATTATGCAAGGAATTGGTGAGTGAGTGCATTGATGAGTGGTGAAAATCGGGGCACTGGGAACGGAATCCCTTATGCGGTACATACTGACGTTTCTAATCTTATTAATGAATGATTTCCAAGTTGAACACTTTGTAGGCATTCTTAGGAGACACAATTCATGTACATTTTGCACTTTCGATTTTTGTTTGACAATTAACCAAAAAATCTAACATTACATTTCCCTTACACATTGGGTCAACTTTTGAACAACATATTTACGTTGTCCTCAATTCCCAACGCATTGATCTGCCCCCCGCTTTCTGACGTGCTGACGTCACAAACTTGCACCAAACTGAATCTACCTTTGTAATCCGCGACCAAGACTTAATGAATGTTTTGTGACTGCGACTGATGGTTGGTAAGTCTTAAAAGTGTGTGACTTCAGTCAATCAAACAACCGACTTGCCACCATTCACAAAGTGCATTGCCATTAAATTTGACGCCAGTTTTTTACCTGAGCTGTTGACCCTGAGCTATTGACCCTGAGCTATTGACAGACTGGCCGATTTGTAAAACCGTTAAACATATTTATTTTATTTTTTTACACACAATCCAAAAAGGCGGGCTCTTCGTCGCTTTGGCCGTGTGCTTACACATTAAAAAATATTGTTCACATCCCACATCCACAGGTAAATATGTCTGACCCCATTCAGGGTCTCATAGTAAGGCGCTGGATTATGTGGAATTGTTGAGTGCATGCATGGATTGGATTATGCAAGGAAATTGGTGGGTGTGTGCATGATTTGAATTTTGAAAGGGATTGATGAGTGCATGTATGGATTAGATTATGCAAGAACTTGGTGAGCGAGTGCATGATTTGAATTTTGAAAGGGATTGATGAGTGCATGTATGGATTAGATTATGCAAGGAAATTGGTGAGCGTGTGCATGATTTGAATTTTGAAAGGGATTGATGAGTGCATGTATGGATTAGATTATGCAAGGACTTGGTGAGCGAGTGCATGATTTGAATTTTGAAAGGGATTGATGAGTGCATGTATGGATTAGATTATGCAAGGACTTGGTGAGCGAGTGCATGATTTGAATTTTGAAAGGGATTAATGAGTGCATGTATGGATTAGATTATGCAAGGAAATTGGTGAGCGTGTGCATGATTTGAATTTTGAAAGGGATTGATGAGTGCATGTATGGATTAGATTATGCAAGGACTTGGTGAGCGTGTGCATGATTTGAATTTTAAAAGGGATTGATGAGTGCATGTATGGATTAGATTATGCAAGGACTTGGTGAGCGTGTGCAAGATTTGAATTATGCAAGGGTTTGGTGAGTGTCTTTTATGGATTGGATAATGCAAGGAATTGATGAGTGCGTGTATGCATGGATTGAAGCAAGACGGTAGTGGTGTGACAGCAAAACTCGCTTCACATTATGGTTCATCATACACTAGCGATTGGAGATATCTCAATCCATAGCAGCCCAACAAGTGCGACGTTCGTGCTAGTACGAGTTTAGAAGTGTGAAATTAGAAAGAAAAGTCAGCAATTTACTTGATATGAGATTGGTCGTGTGAATCTAAATTTTACCAGAAATCAGGGATTTAGGTTGTACACGCTCTAACATTAAGGCGTGTGGGACCTATAACAACCCAACAAATCAATCGCACTTTTCTATGATAACTTTTCAGTTATTGTCGTTGGCTTGTTTTATCCTTTTCTAGCAATGGAACATTACATTTTCATTTTTCATTTTCATCTGTCATTGTCATGTGCTATTTTACGTGTCTTCTTCACGTGCCAGTTTCTTTCAGTGTGTAAATTGCAATGTCCAAGAAAGACTTCGTGGCTTTGCTTCTTCCTTGCTGTAAGCTGCACATTTGTTCCTCTCATTGCTCTTCACGTGTGTACACCAAGAAAGTAAGACACGACCAATGGCCTGCCAACAGCCTCTTGTGTGGCTGGTTCAGTCTAATTATAACAAGCTACATACGCAATGGCATACATCCGAGCCCCACTTGACGTAGCACTAAGATGTGAGAACATCACCATCTAACACGTAATGGGGAAACCCTCAATAAGTTTCCGGGAAACGGAGAACCCTTGCAAAAGACCCGGATGTGTACGAAGATTGGTTGTGTTGGTTGAGGACTGTCTCGCAAGTTAATTACTTTAACTTTGATTGATTCTTTTATCTTTGTTTTGCAACTGCTGTTGTTGTTTTGTTTTTTTAAATTGTGGACTGCATTTAAAAAAAACAATTCTGTTTTACTTTCATGTCATTATTAACTTACGTCTGGTCCCTTCCATATTCGCTGAAGAATGACCTTGTGTCCAGAAACAAAAGCGGTTTATAATTTCAGTTGCGCCTGATGAAATTTAATGCGATGAATGCAGCTCGTGATAAAAATATCCAGACTGATCTTTCGATGTAGTGGCAGTTATTTCTTTCCAAAGTCATCAAGTAGATACGTGATTTTTAAACAAATGATTTCGTTTCTTTAATTGCAATGTTGTGGATGTATATGTTGATTAAAAAGGCGCGAAAACGGACCACGTGTACAGGACCCGACGGCCTCAAACTAAAACAAGGGGCCATGATCCTGGTCACGTACTTGTTCGCATTGTCTTACTTTAAGCTTGTTTTACGTTTCATATCTTACTAGAATGTATCTTTTATATATTTACACATCTATATGTGACATATTTAAAAATATATGTGACGTTTACACAGCTATATGCTATATATTTACATAGTTTATGTGACATATTTACACCCCATATCCACATATTCACAAGGGATACTCTTTTAACAATTGCTTTGCATTTAAATAGATTTTGCGCAAATATTTTAGAAGCCCCAGGGGGAGAGTCCCGTAAACCTTTTTTGAATGTAAAACAATTTCCAAACACTTAAGCCATGCATATAGCTAAGCTATTATTTAACACATAATGTTAATTATGCTAGATAACATACGG